GTCCAAGCCATTACTCATCCATCCCTCCTGGATGCCCCCCAAAACCCCTCAAATCCTTTGTACCAAGAACTAACTCATTGTCCTCCCCACAAGTCTCTTCCTCTTCTGCTTTCGCCTGGTCTTGGGAAATCACACCACAGAATCTGGGCCCTTAGGCCATTCTTTTCTGCCCTGCCCTCACACCTGAGCTCCAACTGGTGCCAAGTCCTCTCCAACCAGTGAGGCCTCTCTCACCACAACTGCCAAGCCTCATTCTCGTCAATTCCCGGAAATCACAGCACTTCGGTCTTAACTGATCTTCTGGTCCACACTTCCTGCAGGATGAACTTCCTCAAGCAAAAATTTAATGTCTGTTCTGCTTAAAAACATTCTCTCTCTCTCTCTCTCTCTCTGTGTGTGTGTGTGTGTGTCTCCCATGAATAAATAAAGTAAATCTTGAAAAAAAAAATCATTCAGAAGGGGATGCCTGTGTGGCTCAGCAGTTGGGTGTCTGCCTTCGGCTCACGGCATGATCCTGGGATCTGGGATCCGGTCCCACATCGGGCTCCCGGTGCATGGAGCCTGCTTCTCCCTCTGCCTGTCTCTGCCTCTCTCTCTGTATCTCTCATGAATAAATAAATAAAATCTTTAAAAAAAATAAAAAATAAAAACATTCAGAGGTCCCTAAATACTTGAGAATAAAATTCAAACTTCTGGACACTATATTCAATATCTGAAATCCTCTCAGATCTGATTCTTGAGGGCACCTGGTGGCTCAGCAGTTGAGTGTCTGCCTTTGGCTCAGGTCATGATCCCAGGGTCCTGGGTCAAGTTCCACATCAGGCTTCTCTTGGGGAGCCTGCTTCTCTCTCTGCCTATGTCTCTGCCTCTCTCTGTGTCTCTCATGAATAAATAAACAAAATTTAAAAAGTAAAAAGAGGGGATCCCTGGGTGGCGCAGCGGTTTAGCGCCTGCCTTTGGCCCAGGGCGCGATCCTGGAGACCCGGGATCGAATCCCACGTCGGGCTCCCAGTGCGTGGAGCCTGCTTCTCCCTCTGCCTGTGTCTCTGCCTCTCTCTCTCTCTCTCTGTGTGACTATCATAAATAAATAAAAATTACAAAAAAAAAATTAAAAAAAAAAAAAGTAAAAAGATCTGATTCTTGCCCACTTCCTCTGTCCCTGCTGCTTCAGTCCTACTGAAGTGCTGGCAGTTCTCACATTGCATGTTCTTTCAAATCTCTTCGTTTGAATGCACTGCTCCCCTTGTCAGAAATACAGGACCACACCATTCTTCTCTGCCTTGCCAACCTTTTTCTGTTTTTCTTTTTTCTTTTCTTTTTTTTCTTTTCTTTTCTTTTTTCTTTTCTTTTCTTTTCTTTTTTCTTTTTCTTCCTTCCTTCCTTCCTTCTTCTCTTTTCTTTCTTTCTTTCTTTCTTTCTTTCTTTCTTTCTTTCTTTCTTTCTTTCTTTCTGCCATTTTCATCCATGATTACTCAGCCTATTTGCTGTTCTGTGTTCAAGGCCCCTCCTGTGGACACTCTTGCCAGCTTGTGTGGGCCTCCATCACAGCTCTCATTACTCTGGAGACCCAAGGCCTGTGTTGTAATGTTTTTTTTTTTTTTTGCTTTTGCTCTCTTGCTAGATTGAGTTCTCAAGAGCAGTAATGGTATCTTATTTTAGTCCTTTAGTTCCTTCCTTATTTAGTCCTTTTTAGTCCTTTAGTTTTTTGATGCTCTGATCACCTTTTCTTCCAAGCTGATCCTTTCTACATATTTTATGCATTTATTTTTTGAAGAGGTAACACATTCATCTGTCTAAAAATTCAGAAGTTACAAAAAGTTACAGAATGAAAAGTCTCCTTCCTACCACTGTTCCCACTCCAGCTGTCCAGTTCCTCTCCCCAGGAGCAATCAAAATGATCAGTTTCTTGTGAATACTAGAGATAGAAATACTTTTTTTTAAATTTATTTATGATAGTCACACACACACACACAGAGAGAGAGAGAGGCAGAGACACAGGCAGAAGGAGAAGCAGGCTCCACGCACCGGGAGCCCGACGTGGGATTCGATCCCGGGTCTCCAGGATCGCGCCCAGGGCCAAAGGCAGGCGCTAAATCGCTGTGCCACCCAGGGATCCCTAGAAATACTTTAGAGATAAAAACATATCATTCCCCTTTTATACAAAAATGCTGTGATGTTCTACAGACTGTGCTGTACCTTGTTCTCACATATGTACTGTATCTATGGGATCATTCCACTTTAGCACATAAAGAGCTTCCTTATTCTTTATTTTCAGTCTTCCATTGTTGTTGCATTCCAAGTTAACCAATGAGCATTAGGTTATTTCCAGTCCTTTGCAAATACAGAAAATACTTCAATGACTATCTTCACAAAAATGTCACACTTCACACATGTACAAGTGTGACAGTAGAATGAATTCTAGAAGTGGAGCTGCGCCAGATCAAGAAGTATGTGGTATTTGTGAGTTTCAGCATGTCCTATTGCTCCTCATCGAGTTTGTAGATAACATCTTCTTTATCTTTGTATCTCTAGCCACCATTGCAGAGTCTAGAACAGAGTAGGCATTCACTACATTTTTTTTCAAATAAACAAATGAAAAAAATAGCTCTTTCAGTGGAAGCTCCCTTTTTCTTTTCTTTGAGGCCTTTAGTGGATAAATTCCATCCCACTCAGAGCTCAGTTCAAATCAAATAATTGCAGAGTATTATTGTACAGCAAAATCCTATTCCAATTTGTATTAATTTCCCTATTTGTGCAATTAATTGAGACCCTTCTTCATTAGGTTGCTTACAAAATAAGGTTATACTAACTTTTATGTTCCAATAACGGAATCCTCATTTCACATTTTAAGACATGTCTTAATTATTCTACTACTCTCTTCCCCCACATTCCAAGCAATTACTAGAAACCCATACACAGTCCATGAATTCTTTCAGGGGGTTGCTTGTTGCTTTTATAAGTCACCAGACCTCTCTGTGCAAGGTAACTTTACTTTTCTTTTTTTTTTTAATGACTTTATTTATTCAGTTTAGAGGTCAGAGAGAAACAAAGGAAGAGAGGGAGAGAATCTGAAGCAGACTCTGCACTGAGGAAGGACACCCACCTGGGGCTTGAGACTAATGACCTCAAGATCAGGACCGCAACTGAAATCAAGAGTTAGACACTTAACCGACTGAACCATCCAGGTGGCCCACTTTTACTTACTTTTTTAAACTACGAATCCCTGTTACTTCTCCTGGATTGTTTACTAGCTGTGTGGCTTCTCTACGCCTGGTTTATTCATCTATAAAATAGGGCACATTACTGAGTTGTGAAGACTAAATAAAATTATAGATGTAAAGTGCTCAGAATAATGTTTGGCACACAGTAATGTTGAGAGAAACAGTCCTTCATGGGCCTGTCATGCTTCTACCCATCTTCCTGGGTATGCCAAAATGCAAGACCCTGACTGCTTTTTACCAGGGTCATTTCTCAAGATTGTGTTTATGGTGAGCAACTTTAAGGAATAAGGTAATGTCTCTCTCCAGCACAAAGAATAGGTTTGCTCACTGCTTCCTATAGAGGACAGGTTCCCCAAACCCAGTGTTCTTCAACTGCGACGTAAATCCACCAAGTAAGTGCACATTCATGTGAGCCCTCCCTGTCATCCCCATAAAATGTGGGGGAAGAGGAATTGACACCAACCTGCTGAAGCTCATGTCGCTTCCTGTGTCATAATAGTCCTTTGTCTCTCACCCAGGAATTCTGTCTTTTGTTAGTCCACAAAACAGTAACAGACTAACTCACTAGCCAGTCAGGAGGGTAAAATGAAATACCAGACTTGAGTACTACATGCTTCAGTAAGCTATTTTCACTATTTTTGCTCTAGCTCTTCTTGTCTTTGCTAGGCATCCTACACACACTATCTGTGAGTGTGTGTTTGGGTAGGTAGCTGACAAACATCAACTGCAGCCATTGCCAAAGATTTCTACTGTGTCTGTTGTGGGAAACAAAATGAATTAGAAATAAAGGTAACTTGGGGCACCTGGGTGGCTCAGTTGGTTGAGCATCTGCCCTCTGCTCAGGTCGTAATCTCAGGGTCCTGGGATATAGCCCCACATCAGGCTCTCTGCTCAGTGGGGAGCCTGCTTCTCCCTCTGCTGCTCCCCCTGCTTGGGTTCTGTCTCAAATAAATAAATAAAATCTTAAAAAAAAAAAAAACACTTCAAAATCGTTGCCCAATTTAAATTACTGGACTCCTCTAATATCCAGTTCTACATCACTAAGGCCGTAGTCTTCTTTGCATATACACACACATATACATATTTTTTTGTATAGTTGGAACATAGTTTTTATGTAGTTGCAATACATGAAAGTTGCGAAAAAAGCAGCCCGGTGGCTCAGTGGTTTAGTGCCACCTTCAGCTCAGGACGTTATCCTGGAGCCCCGGGCCTGCTTCTCCCTCTGCCTGTGTCTCTGCCTCTCTCTCTCTCTGTGTGTGTGTGTCTCTCATGAATAAATAAATAAAATCTTAAAAAACGAAAGTTGCGAAAAAATAACCGGGCCTTAGTTCCTGTTACCTAACAGCAGGATGACTTTGGGCTCTCTATGGTTCAGTTTCCAAATAACTGAAGTAGAGAAACGAATTCATGATCCTGCCAGCTCACAAGGTTGTTGGGGTTGTTGGGGCCATGGAATAAAATAATGGATTCATGTGAACACAAGCTATTGAACAAATGAGTTGTTATAATTTAAGGCTGCAACTTAAAGCTGTCGTCACAAACATCAATTTATGCACATATTATTGTTTTAGAGGCTAAGAAATGAGTTAGGAAATGAAAGAAGCAAAAACTCGCCCCAGGTCAACAGGTTCATCAGTCGGCTACAATCGGTGCTGGCTCAGCGGCTCAAACTACAACTCCCGGCAGGCTTTGTTCCTCAATGCGTCACGTAACCTCCGCTCGGGCCCGGGCCCTGCCCTCTCCCCCGCCCCCACCGTCCAGAACTCCAACTCCCAGGAGGCTCCACTGGGCGCAACCGTCAGTCTCCCCTTTCCCCCCGCCGGCAGCTCCGTGGCCGACTCCGGTCCCGCGGGCGGCGGAGCGGGCGCGCGCCTAGGGGTCGCACGGCTGCTGAGCGGGGCGAGCGCGCTCGAGGAGGGAGTGGAGGCGTAGGAGGGCGGGGGTACGGCTCGCTCGCTCGCAAGATGGCGGACGAGGACGGGGAAGGGATTCACCCTTCAGCCCCTCACAGAAACGGAGGCGGAGGCGGCGGCGGCGGGGGGTCCGGGCTTCACTGCGCAGGGAACGGCGGCGGGGGAGGCGGCGGCCCGCGGGTCGTACGCATCGTCAAGTCCGAGTCCGGCTACGGCTTCAACGTTCGGGGCCAAGTGAGCGAGGGCGGGCAGCTGCGGAGCATCAACGGGGAGCTGTACGCGCCGCTGCAGCATGTGAGCGCCGTGCTGCCCGGGGGGGCGGCCGACCGGGCCGGGGTGCGCAAGGGGGACCGCATCCTGGAGGTGTGAGTATCCGGCTGCCCGCCGCCCCGCCCCCTCCGCCCGCAGCCCCTGCCGCCCGCTGGCCGCACCGTCCCCTCCCTCTCCCCCTCCCCACGCGCCCCTGAACAAGCTGGGTCCCGCTCAGGCCCTTCCGCCTCCCTCCCTGTGACCCGTCAGAGCCCCCCCCCCCCGCTGCTCTTACCTTCCTGCCCCCCCCCCCCCCCCAGCGCGCTGCCCTCTGCCCCTGTCTGCCCTCGCTGACAGCGTCTCCGAATTCGGAGTCCGCTCCTGGCCTCCTCCCCAAGTTCCCATCTTCAACGTCGTAGTTTCTTGTCCACCGCTGCCGTCCGCCCCGCGGACCGTCCGTCTGGCTTCTACACCAAGCAGCCAGGGCCTGCGCCTCCGCTTCACTCCTTTTGCTCTCCTCGGTTACCCTCGCTCGGGGTTAAGCACCCCTGCATTTTTATGCCCTGCGGGGTGTCCTTTCCCCTCCCTCTTGGAGCCACGCTCCCGAGAGCGCACCTTCTCCTCTGACCCTTTGCGAAGGCATGCCTTTGTGTTTGTTTTGTTTTGCTGGTTGGGGAGGGTGTCTGGCCGCTGGTTTCTTTGCCCCGTTGTACCGTATTACACCGGGATTTTGCACCCAGCGTCGCCTGTCTCCACGTTCCTCTGAGAGCATCCCTGCCCTGGCCCATCTTCACTTCTGCACTAACTCCTACTTCTTTTTAGTGAGATTTGTGGTGGAGCTCTCCTTCGTACCGACTTCCCCCCGAAACTAGACCCGTCTTTTGGGTCTTTGACCTCCTCGCTTTTTCAGGGCCTGCCCCTCTATTCTCTTTCACTCTGTCCTCTCGTGCTCCCACGCTCGACTTTCTTTATCCTATTCTTTATCCCCTCCGGGCTGCTTTCCTTGCTCTTCTTAGGCTCCTGCTGCAACCCATCCTCTTCCTTACTGCAGCCCCTCCCTCCCATACTCCTTCATCCTTCCCCCCCCCCCCCCACCCAGCATCCTAAAGCTCTAGCAGGATGCTGCCTTGTCTTGCAGTTTCTGTGCACACCTCTGCTACTCTCTTACCGGTGTTACCTTTGTGGATTTGTACTTTGTATTAAAATTTGTATAGTGGTGGCTTGGTAGGTGGCATATGCCCTCATTACCTCCATTCTCCTCAGCAGCCCTCAATCTTGTATCTCTTGCCTTTTTACTGAACCTTATTTTTTCACACTTTTGCCCTCTCCCTCAGTACTTGGATTTGCCCTCATGAAGTCTTTCTTATTTTTTGTAAATGTTATTTTAGTTATAATTTCTACAACCTCCAGTCTCCAATAAAATAGTAAGTTTGCTCAAGGTTTCAACAAGGTTAGTATCTTGAACATCTGGCCTATCCCTTTTTATTTACCTTATTCCCCCTGCCCTTACCTTGACATTCTGTTTTGTTTTTTTTTTAATTCTCTTTTTTTTATTTTATTTACTTATGATAGTCATAACAGAGAGAGAGAGAGAGAGGCAGAGACATAGGCAGAGGGAGAAGCAGGCTCCATGCACCAGGAGCCGGATGTGGGATTTGATCCCGGGTCTCGAGGATCGCGCCCTGGGCCAAAGGCAGGCGCCAAACCGCTGCACCACCCAGGAATCCCGACATTCTGTTTTTTTTAAAGATTATCTATCAATCTATCTATCATCTATCTATCTATCTATCTATCAATCATCTATCAGAGAGAGTGTGTGCACAAGCAGGGAGAATAGCAGGCAGAGGAAGAGGGAGAAGCAGCCTCTTCACTTAGCAGGGAGCTCTGAGCTTGGGGCTTGATCCCAGGACCCTGGGTGATCGTGACCTAAGCTGAAGGCAGACGCCTAAGTACTGAGCTACCCAGGTGCCCATTTGACCTTCTTACTCAATGATATTCACTCATTCTCTTTCCTCTTACCTTTCACCTGAAGAAAGAGTAGCTCACTAAATTAAGTTTGGAGCTATTAAAACTTCCGTTTATGCTTTTTTCCTTTAATGTTCTACATGCTCTTTTCTTATTCTCTGGTAATATGTTCTTAATCTTTGAGAGCCAGGGTATTCAGACTAGAATGCAGTAGTGACCAAAATTTTGCTCTGTACCTGGGCATATAATTCTTTTTTTGCTAGATAACTCAAAATCTGTGGCTATTTCCTTCAGATAGAAGCTCTTGGAATTGTCATTTTCCTTTTCTTTTGCAAGTTAACTTTGGATCCAGCTGTTTATTTTTAAATTTAAAATTCAAGTATTTATTTGAAATTACAAATTTATCATAAAATTATAAATAATTTACTCTTTATAAGAGTTAAAAGAACTAAATGAAAACAATTCTGTAGGGGCAGCCCGGGTGGCTCAGCGGTTTAGCGCCACCTTCAGCCCAGGCTGTGATCCTGGAGACTTGGGATCTAGTCCCATGTCAGGCTCCCTGCATGGAGCCTGCTTCTCCCTCTGCCTGTGTCTCTGCCTCTCTTTCTCTCTCTCTCTCTCATGAATAATTAATAAAATCTTAAAAAAAAAAAAAGAAAACAATTCTGTAGATGACTACAACTAACATCAACCATTTCAAATATATATTTATGTTTATATATCAACTAACATAGTAGCTTCTTGCCTTTATTATAATTTTGTAGTGAAGTCTAGATATAAATTAGGTATTGTAAGGGAGACCTCAGATGTTCCCCCAGGACAGATGGAAGGACTTGTGTCAGGCCCATGTTCCAGTTCAGGCCCATTCTTCCTTCCGGGGAGAAAATAGTTTTGGCACATACTTGGTGGTGAGCAGAGACTGTCTTGAAAAAGACAACAGAGTGGCCAGGACAAAAGAATACTCTTTGCTTAGAGAACCTTACTCTGGAAGGTTGTGATGATCAGACTTCTTCCTAACAGTGGTTTCTCACCTTCCAACTGTATTTTGATTCCAAATTCTATGAAGCTTCTTTGTTACTATAGTGGAAATGGTGGTTACAGTATAGAGTCAAGCAAGTTGGCAAATTCTCAAAAAAAAAAAAAAAAGTTGGCAAATTCTCTGAGACCTCAGCTATACAGTCTCTTTCCAAAGTCTGCATCTTCTCCTTAGGTTTTCTTTTTTTTAAAATTAATTTTAGAAAGATTTTATTTATTCATGATAGACACACACACAGAGAGAGGCAGAGACATAGGCAGAGGGAGAAGCAGGCTCCATGCAGGGAGCCCGATGTGGGACTCCATCCCAGGACTCCAGGATCATGCCCTGAGCCACCCAGGTGTCCCCTCCTTAGGCTTTCAAGTGAGAGGAGGAAATCCGTGATCAAACATGATTCTTCAGAGATATCTGGGTCTGCTACTTGTTTTGATTTTGGTTAGGTTGATGCTAATTTTCCTAAAGCATTCTTTAGTCAGCACTCCTTAGGGCTTTTCTGTCTCCCACAAATTCGTAAATTAATCTCTCTGTTGTCTCAGGAAAGTTTTGCATGTTACTGAAGTGCTAAGTGGGGTCAGGGTTAGGCATAGGTAGATTATTATTGTGTAGACATAGTTTGCATGAAGTCATAGGTGGATGTCTGGTCCTTGATGATTGCTGTTTAAGACTTGTCCCTATTTTAGGGGATCCCTGGGTGGCGCAGCGGTTTGGCGCCTGCCTTTGGCCCAGGGCGCGATCCTGGAGACACGGGATCGAATCCCACGTCGGGCTCCCGGTGCATGGAGCCTGCTTCTCCCTCTGCCTGTGTCTCTGCCTCTCTCTCTCTCTCTCTCTGTGACTATCATAAATAAATAAAAAAAAAAAATTAAAAAAAAAGACTTGTCCCTATTTTAGACACTTTCCTCCTGTACACAAATTATTCCAACTTTTTTATATTGTGGTCCTTTGGACAACTGATTGAGATGTGAAAAGAATAGAGTAACTTTGAGATTTAAGAGACGAAAATCTTGGACAAAAGTCAGAGCTTGTATTTCTTTTAAAGTCTGCCTACAAAGGCCTTGTCCTCATTGAATCTTAGAACAGTCATTCAAGTGTGACTCCCCGTGTGGCTCAGCAGTTTGGAGCCTGCCTTCCACCCAGGGTGTGATCGTGGAGTCCTGGGATTGAGTCCTGGGATTGAGTCCCACATCGGGTTCCCTGCATAGAGCCTGCTTCTCCCTCTGTGTCTCTGCCTCTGTGTGTGTGTGTCTCATGAATAAAAAAAAAAAAAAAAAAAAAAGTCATTAAACTAAATTCAGTATGGTTCTGTTTGTCCTTTCTCCCTTCAAAACTGACTAGACTTTAACTGGTTTGGGAAAGAGAGATGTTGCAGGGCTTGTTAGTAGGGTATGAACAAGCCCTCTGGGCTCTAAGTTTTACTGCAGGTGGAAAGTTTTGTACTAGCAATGTTAATCTCCACCTTGTAATTTTTCCCAGTATAGCACATTGAGGAGGTTTCCCTTTGATGTGTATATACCTGGAGGTAGGCTTTCAAAAAGTAGAACCAAAATAAATATGTCTTTGTACTAATTATATAGTATATGAAGTAACATTTAATTAACTTCAGGTTAATTTTCTTAAGGTAAAGTATTTCCAAGGGCTCTTGATTGATTTCTTGGGTGCCCTTAGTAGGGTTTAATATACAGTAGATATGGTTGTGGTACCATCTATATTTTTAAGGGATTAGGTTTGTGTGTTGGCTAGTTTGTTTTATCTCTTTGGTATTTGGGTAGTGTGGTCTTTAACAAGCCAGTAAGATTGGCTTGCAAGCATTTAAAATCATCATATATTTGTGCAGGGTAGAGTATGTGCTTTCCCTCTTGATAGCTACAAAATAATACACCCATCAACTTTCCCTTGTTAAAGTTACACTTGCTCTTAGCCAAGAGACCAAGAAGCAATTCTCTTGTTAAAGTAATCCATAAGAAAAATTAATGCTATGTATATGTATGTATGTATATGTTTATTGGGAGTTCAATTTAATAACAGGAATATCTATCTCATGGTCCTTTTTTTTTTTTTTTTGGCTTCATTTAATGTGAAGTTTGAGATAAAGAGCGTGGTGCCACAGGAAGCATT